TAGTGGTCAGAAGCTTTAGTCTTCAAATCTTAGGTTCAGGACCTTTACTTACACAGAGCCTTTCTTTTTGCTTTCCGGTTTTATTGAGTTAGGGTCTCGCTATGTAGCTCAGGCCGGCTTGGAACTCACTATCCTCCTGCCTTTACCTCCAGAGTGGGGTTATAGTCAATTACAGCCACCAGTCATGCCTGACTTTTTGATAGTGTAGTTATATAAGATTTATTAAATCTTCATAACGAGATACTTTCTTTGCAAATTTATTCAGATTGTGGGGTGTTCTGCAAAATTATGTTTAATAAAAATCAAACTGAGTTTATTCATTTCTGGGAGAAAAAAAGGTATAACTACATTTTTAATCATGCTGTGTCTTACTGCTTCAAAACCAACCCTAATTTTCTGTCAAAATAAATTTAGAAATATTAGTCTCCTTATTTCTGTTCTGTCAATTTTGACTCAAAATTGGTTAGAGCTGAGCTCTGCTATTCCAACCATCTAGGAGTGGTAGATTACTATGGTGTTGAAGTAGAGACCACTGCATGTTTACCGGTATGGTAAAGAACGGTTAGTTGATGCTTTGAGGTCACAAAACCCACAGATGACTCCTACATTTCCCTTCCAGGTATTCCGTAGCCAGGAGTGATCTCCTCCCTGCTTCATCTCTTTACCCTTTTTTCCTTCTTCAGCATGTCCCCCATCGCTCTTGTGACAGGCACCTCAGAACAGACTGTTGCAGCTGCAGTTCTGCGAGATTCAGGCACTGCTAATCCACTAGTTCCTTCATTTCAACATATATCAGAAGGAAATCATCTTTCTTCTTACAGAAGTGGAGGCTGCAGTAACTGGAACCCCCACACCTGCCATCTCTGTGGTGGAAACATTGCTTCCCCTTTGAGGATTGCCATGTGCTCATTAATAAAGCGAGGAACAGCTCTGACAGCACATAAATCATTATTAGTACATCTGACAATATATAAATCCCTAAAAGGGAGAGAATTTTGAGAATTTTAAAATCTGATACAGCTTTCTAATAAGGAAGGGCTCTTCAATCTGTAATGTATCCCATGAACCCTGGTAGTCCTACAGTCAGGACAGGTAGCAGCTTCCAAGAAACTTTAGTTTCATGGTTGGGTAGGGTTTAGGGGGAGGCAGTAAACTATGTATAGAGTATTCTATAAATGTCAGTTTCAGCAATTATAGATTTTCCATTATATTTCAGTAGTGGAAAGCTGTTTATATAATTAAAATTTATTATTTTTTTCTTTTTTTAACGAATAGGATATTTTGTTTTGATTTTTAAAATTATTATATGCATTCGAGATATACAGAAGAATGTGTAATTATTTATGGCACCCATGTTATTTATTAGACAAAATGAACTGGGAGCTCAATACTCAGCACTAGAATTAGATCACTGCTGATACCATTGTGTCAGCCTGGGTTCCCATCCCCTCCCCACCCCCCTTTCCAACATCACTGACCTCCAGAGGTACCCTCTCCTCTGAATTTTCAACTGATTTTGTTACCTGTGTGTGAATTCTTAAGGAATCTACAGTACTGTGTAGCTTATTTTTGAGGTTACAAATGGATATGAAAAGTACATATTATCTTCGATGATTTCCTTTTTTTCACTCAATGTAATGCCTTCGGGATTCATCCAGGCTGTTAAATTCAACTGTGTAGTTTATTCATTTTCCCATTGGCTTAATAATCCATTGTGACAGGGAACCACAGTTTATCTGGCTATTCTCCTGTCAACCAACATTTGATTTGTTTCCAGTTTGGGCTGTTATAAACCACGCTGCTGTTATCATTCTTGGATGTGTGCCTTGGCACATATGTGAAAGCTTTGTTTTCAAGGATTTATGCATAGGAGTAAAACTGCTGGCTCATGGGATATGCAAATATTCATCTTTGTAAGACAGGGCTAAATTGTTTCCTTAGATGATTGTAGCCACTTGAGTCCCCTGAGCAGCATTTATCAGATTCAGAATAAACTGGTATTTTATTAGGTTCTGCTTTTCATTAAAATTATTTATGAGTTGATCATCTTTTCCTATATTTATAAAATGTTTGCATTTCCTCCACTGTAAAAGGTCTGTTCATGTCTTTTGCCTATTTTTCGATGGGCCTTTTTCTTATTTGCAAGAACCCTTTCTATATTCTGTATTCTACTGCTTTACCAATTATTTCTACTGTAAATATCTTATCTTACATTGTGCCTTGCCTTTTAAATTTCTTTTTGATGTCCTTTGACAAAGATAAGTTTGTCATCTTCATGTACTTAGATTTTTCAATCGTTTCTCTTAGGATTAGTGCTTTTAGGGAATTTTTCCTGCCTTGAAGTGATAAGAAATATTCTTAAATTTTCTTTAAAATATCTTAAAGTTTTGCCTTTGGTATTGAAGTTCCTAAACCATGTAGGATTTCCCCCTTTATGGATAAAACAATTTCATGTGCTGTTTATAAACAGTCTTTCTCTTCCCTGGGGACCTCCAATGCTATCTCTTTTGTTTCCATGACTGTGTCTTCAAGCTCTACTTATCTATCCCTGCATGAACACCAGCTTTCTTTACTCCATAGCTGTAAAATGTCTTGAAACTTTCCCATTCCTACCTTATTATTCTTTTAAGAAGTATCTTGGTTACTCTTGAACTTTAATTTTTTCATATACGTTTTGGAATCAGTTTGTCAAGTTGTTAAAAAAATTTTGGATTTTGATAGTTGGATTTTGATACAAATATTGTTGAATTTATAGCTCCATTTGGAGAAGTATGACTTCCTTATAATACTGAGTTTTTCTAACCGTGGTCATGGTATGCCTATCCATTTATTTAGATCTCAGTAATGTTTCCCAGAGACTTTAGAGCTTTCTTCATTAAGGTCTTACATATCATTTGCTAGTTTATTTCCAGGTACATTAAAGGTGTTTTTTGCCAAATATAAAAAATTACATTTTCTTACCAGGAGTGGTGACCCATGCCTATAATCCCAGTACTGGAGGGTCTGAGGCAGGAGGATCATGATTTTGAGGCCAAGCTGGGCTACATAGCAAGACACTGTCTCAAAAAAAAAAAAATTACATTTTCTGTTTCTTAGCATATATCTATATATTGGCTTTTTTTATTCAGTGGTTATGAAAAACTCTCAGTTATATAAAGTGTGCATCCATTTGCGTTTCCTTGTAAACAATCACATGACTTACGAATAATGACAATTTTGTTTCTATCTTTCCAATTTTTGTTTCTTGTATTACTTTTTCTTATCTTACTACCCTTGTGAGGCCTATAGCAGATGGCTGGATGAGAGAACAACAGAGCCTCTTATCTCTTATTTTAAAGAGAAACCTTTTAAAATTCACCATTAAAAGTGACGTTAGCTCTACATTTTTAGTAGCTAACTTCATAAATTTTTGAAAGTTCTCATTTTATTTTGACAAGTTTTTTCTTGTTTATTTAATCATAGACATAAAAGGATATTGAATAAAGGGATGTACAAGGTGCTTTTTCTGCATTACTTGAAATGATCATGTTTGACATGTCAAATTGGTTAATGCAATATGTGATATTCACACATTTAGATAATGCAAGTGAATCATAGAGCTGTTACTACAGCACATTTCTCAATATCTACTTTTTAGTTTGGGGATGTGACTCAAAAAAAAAAAAACCTACTTTTTTTTCTGCTCCTAACTTTTCTATAATAGTGGCTCCAAAACTAAGATTTCCATATGCTAGTATATGAAATATAAGGGCCAATTACATTTCTTTTTAGTTTAATACAATTCCTTCACTGATGTCAAACGAACAGTGAACTTCAGGGCTAAAAATCCAAGTGAGGTTTTCCTGTTCCTAGTATTTGAAATTTTGTTCATGAATGAGAGCATCCTGTACTTCTTTTACACTGTTTTTCCAGATTCAAGGGTCAGTGTCACAGAGTTGTCATAGAATGTGAAGATACTTTTTTTTCCCCCTCAACTGAACTGGCATAAATTTAGAACACCCAGTTTTGAAAAGTAAGCAAATTTATTTTCAAAACCCTCAGTTCTTGCTTTTTCTTTGTGGGAAGAGTTTTATCTTCTAATTAATTTGTTGTAAAATTGTAGGGATTTCATTTTAATCTGCTTTGATAAATTATATTTTCCTAGGAATTCATTCACTTGATCTATGCCTTCTAGTCACCCTGCACTGACAGAAAGTGTGTCTGCTCAAAGCTTTTCTAATGTGCTTCTAAAAGCTTTGAGGTAGGAGCATTTTAGACTCCTTACCATCTTTTAATCATTTATAGGTGACATTTATTCACATTCCAGTCAACTAGATAGTTGGCTTTCATTCAAGTGCAGTTCAGCTGAGTTCTTCTCAACTACTTTTTTTGAAGGATTTTCTTTTTCCTTAAAGCTGATTGTCTTAGATTTTTCAACAAGAGTATGTGAAGTATTTCTTGGCTGCTCTCATCCCATCCAGTATACCTAACCTATGGTGAACACAATGGATAATTTGAAGATTTAGAATCCACATACACAAAAAATCTACTGTTATTCTCTTAATTTTGGACTATACGACTGGCTCCACTGTATAAAAAGACATTTAAAAACAAAAAAAAAAAAAAAAAGAAAAGAATAACAATAGTAAAACCTGAGCTTTAAAAAGTTTTATCTATTCTTGACATTTTGTCTTCTAAAATCTAAATAGCATTTTTGTTAGGTGTGAACCTTCTGGGTAACCCTAAATTTCCTTCCAAATGGGTAAGTAGGAATTTTAGGAACTCTTTTAGGTCTGTCAAGAGCATAGATAATTCCATTGTAGGTAACGATCTAATCTGCTTCCATTAAAAGCCCTTCCTTGGTTAACCAATTCAAGGCCAAGTACAATTAGACATGGTATTGTTCATTTTAGGAGTGCATTATTAAGACTGCAATAGCAGCCTGTAACTCAAGTTTTCATGTAGTATCAAACTGCCACTTGAATCATGAAATTCACTGATATTTTGAAAATATTTGGCAGGAAGAATCTGTTTGTTTAGATTCTGAGGTAGATGAACATATTAACTGGTTCCAGCAAGAGTATGTGAAAACAGAAAAGGACTGGAGAGAAATTGACAAGAGGATGAGCCAGACTTTGGAAATAAGAAGAAAGTTGATTGGCAGCAGAACGCCTCTGAAGGACATTCTTAAAATGTTTCCTTTCTTGAAGTGCCCTTACCAGGTATCTGATTCACTTATAACACTCTGTTCACTCTATCAAACTGGTTTTTTCCTTTTTCTTCTGGAGTACTAATGGGACAGCATAGCAAGATACAGGGTATGAACCTCAATAGGATGTGAGTTCTTACCTTTGGATAAGAACTTCAGTTCTTTGGGTAAGAATATGATAACTCCTGTTGTCCTGTTCAGGAAATAGACACTTGTGGCCTTCAGAATTAGATTTGTCTGTCACTGAATATATTGTAGAGATTGGGGGAATCTTTATTTAGGCTCCCTAACATGTGAGTCATTTCCTCTTTGCATGCATTTAGACCATTAAGATGGTTATAATTAAAGAACTCTTAGTATGCAACATTATTCTTTCTTTTATGATCCCAAACAATTTCATGAAGTGACCTTAAAAAATATCATGACGTTTAATGGGTAGATAAAATACCTTCCATTGAGTTTATTTAAAGAGACCATTCAAGGGCCTCATCATTACAGTGTGATTTTAACAAAAATTCATCAAAGTTTTTACCCGAGAATGCATTTCATGGAATAATTGTGGTTCAACTAACCATGTTGCAGATGAAACATTTGATATGTTTTTCATTTTCCATGAAAAAAAACTGAAATAAGAATTTGCCTGTAAGAATTATTTTAATTATGTCATTAGTAAACATCTAAATGCTTACCATGTATGTTCTCAGGCCTTTACATGGGATACTTTATGTAATCCCTTCAGCAACCTTACTTTGATTTTTGCTTGTTTGTTTCTTAATATTTGAGTTGCTAGAAACATTCACAGCCCATAGGCTGTGGCCATTAGATATGAAAGTAATGCCAGATTGGCACAGATTTGCAAAACAGTGTTAAAACAAAAAAAAAATCTGTCAAACTGATAGTCTATAAACTCTTCAAACATAGGAGCATGTATTAAATATCAGCAGTTCCCTAGATGTCTAGCCAAGTACCGCATGTGACACAAAAACACTACAGATTTTTTTGAATGCCGAAAAGAATTAGTGGATGGTTAGCAAGGCTGCTTTGGTCACTATGTTAAGCCTTAGGGTCTTCACTAGAGTGCAGCCTACAAAAGTTTAGCAATTACAAAGATGAACTATGGCTAGGTAGCCTTTCAAAGAACCGTAAGTGACAGTAAGTCTGAGGTCCATCATGGCCTGAGTGAGCAGGAAAGACGATTTGAGATTTAAGGTTTTGTCACCTTCTCATACTGTGGCATTTGTGTGTCTTTTCCTACTGTATTCTCTCGACCTTTTCATCTTTTATGTCCAAAATATGGATTTGAGTATGGTTTTGATAATGACTGTACTTACGAATGGAGTTGTCTATTGTTTTAAACAAAAGAACAAACATTTTTGGGTTTTCCAGGACATATAGCCCTAACTCATCCCTGTTTAGCTAGGATTTACAATTTATAAAAACCTTTGTTATGCTTTTTATAAAGTAAATTTGACCTTAGTTACAATTACCACTCTAAACCATCCCTACGGTTGACCAGTTGCCCCTGTTCAAGCCACCCTCAATGCTTTCTGTTACTGTGAAACTGCTCAGAGCTTAGATAGCTGTGAATCCAGTTGCTTAGGAAGACAAGCAACCTGTGGCGGAGGCAGTCCTCCTGGCAGTTATCTTGGACTCACCGCCACCTCCTGTAAGCATTAGTCTCTTTCCATCAAAAAACTGTTTCAACAGAAAATTCCAAAATTTAAAATTTCATTTTATTAGCTCAAAACACTATCAACTAGCTCTTTATCACTGGGATCCACTGAATATTGCATAAGTCTAGTAGGAGGCAGTTGAGGAGAGAGGAGAAAAATATTAAAACCAAATTTAAATATTTACTCACATTTTCTAATAAGCACTTTGAGATGCTGCAGTTTTGCTCTTCCTGAGAAAGTATTTCACTCTCTTAAAACTTAAAGTGAAAGCTCCATGAGGTGGTATGTGTCTATAGTCTCAGCCACTTGGAAGACTGAGGCAAGGGGATTCACTGCTTGAGCCCAAGAGTTTGAGGGCAGTCTGGGCAACACAGTGAGACTCTGTCTCAACAACAACAAAAACAAAAATTGAAAAGACAAAACTTAAGGGAAATTCATAAAAATAAAATGATAGTGTCAAAAAATTTTTTTTAAGATTGAGTTTTGCTTTTGGCTACAATGGAATAACTGGTACTGGACTGTTCTTCCCACTACAAAAATGGAGAAAGCTAGAAAAAAAAAATAGATGAGGCAATTGCTTCCAGCATTAGTTAACAGGAAGCACAGAAGGTGTACCTTGGCTCTCTGCTACAGAGTTACATTCCAGATCATCACACAGAAAGGTGGAAGCCAAGCACAATATGGTGGGCTTCTGAGGCTGAGTAGGAAGAGGTTGAACCTGGGAATGATGAAGCAGCTGTCATTTGTAGAGCAGGGTACTGGAGGGAAGGGCTGGTGGGAGAAGCACACACAGATTTCCCAGAGTCTTTGGCCATGGCTGGACTCTGTAGGATGGGACTCCACAAAGCCTTAGGGAGAGAGGCTGACATGATGAGAGCTGATATGAGAGGGCACACAGTGTTGATAAGTAAGAATTCTGGCAGAGTGGAGAGACCTTGCTGAACCCCTCGGGCATACACTTGACACTTCAGGAAGTTCATGCCTCATGAGAAGCATGCATGCCTTAGCCTTAATTTTGCTGTGTCACTAAGGGCAAAACCCAAAATAGACCCACCCAAACAAATGATAAAATCAACACCGACAAGACCAGAAGGAACACCAGTAACTTAACCACCTGCCAGACCAAAATTTAATACCCATTAAAGGGAAAATTTCATTCAAACTGTCTGCTCGTGGATCACAAGGTAACAGCAGTGCTGCTCTGGTTGCTATGGACCTCTTGATTCTACCTGTGAGTCCCAGGGAAAACTCAGCCCCATATGTCAGGTGCAGATTTAGGGTATACACAGCTCTGAAGAACCTTGTCCCAGTCCAGCAAGTATTGTCACATAAGTGATGCTGTAACCAAGTCTTCAAAGGGCCACTCCATCACTCTATCAAGCCAGTTGCTTCAGGGTGGTGAAGAGCATAGGAATCCCAGTGGATGCTGGGCATCCTATCTGTGGAAAGTCTCATCAGAGAAACTGAGTAAGTAATAAAGGAACCAAGCTGAATTTAGAACTGTAAAGAACATGCATTTGAATGAATACATCAATGAACCGGTTTAACAGCATTGTGGAAAGCATGAAGAAAGAGTCTGTGAACTTGGAGATAGACCAATAGGTATTATTCAATCTGAGTAACAAAAGAAAAAGGGATGGGGTAAGGCATGGTGGCCCATGTAATCCCAGATACTTGGGAGGCAGGGATAAGGGGATTACAGACAAGGCCAGCCAGGCAAAAGTTAGATCTTATCTCCAAAACAAGCCGGGTGTGGTGGGACACAGCTGTAGTCCTAGTTACTGAGGAGGTGGTGGTAGAAGAGCATGGTCTGAGACTGGACTGGGCAAAAGTGTGAGACCCTATCTGAAAAACCAAAAGCAGGAATAGAGGAATGGCTCAAGAGGTAGAGTGCCACTGATGGAGTGGCTCAAGTGGTAGAGCACCTTCCTAGTAAGCACAAGGCCCCGAGTTCAAACCCAAGTACAGCCGGAAAAAAAAAGAAAAGAAAAACCAAAAGCAAGGGACTGGGAGAAAGGCTTAAGTTTAACTGGTGAGAACTTGCCTGGCAAGCTTGAGGCCTGGAGTTCAATTTTTGGTAAAAAGAAGGAAGAAGGGAGAAGGAGGAGGAGAGGAGGAAGAGAAGGAAAAGAAAGGAGGAGTAATATTAGTAATGTGTGGGACTTTGTGGTAATAGGTAAATAACTGAGGAGAGCCAGTTTCTCATGATTAAAGAGGTAGATATGGAAAGAGGAAGGTTAGAAAAGCCTTGTAGTGTTAGATTGGAATTCAAAATATCAGTAGGAACTCATGGTTTTTGGTATTTATATACAGACATACAAACACTTACAACTGCTGTGTGTCTGTATGTTGGTCTTTATATTATCAACCTAAATGACAAATGGAGAGAGATTCTCCAAAGATAATGAATTTGAGAAGAGACACTGCAATGGAAATACATGTGCTGTGGTAACTGTGTGTGTGATGAAGAATGTAAAGGCAAGAAGATTTTAAAGGCAAAATGAGGAGGAGTATATAAATTACTTTTGAAAGAATAATCCTTGTCTACAAGGTCAGTATGAAAGTCTCATCAGTTCAAGGTTCGGCAGGCAGCTGATAGAAAGATGTTCCTGCAGAGGTATTTTTTGTGTGACGTTGTGTGGCCTCTGGGTCAGGCTGTGGTTCTGACACAGGGTTTTGTGACAGTTCTTGTTATCAGGAATCCATGCATGAGATTCCCTTCTTTGTACCCTGCTGGTTTTATCTTTTGTAAGGTATTGGCACAGTGACTCCATTTTGATTCTGACACTGTCACAATATATAAAAAATGATTTCTTAGCTTTGTTCTATGAGAAAGCCTAGAGTAATTACACCTCTGTAATACAGGAGCACACTTTGGACTGAAATTTTAGTTTCTAAATGCTATTCTCCAAGGAACAGGGTTCTTGGAGAAATGGCTGACCCCAGGGCTGAAGCAAACATTTTAAGAAAAAATACAAAATGACCCTGAAATATTGTATAATGCCAGAAATTAAGGAAGTGCTCACAGACTAATAAGGTACATCAGAAGGACATAGAAATCACCTTAAAGCTGCTCCCACTGACCGAATGAACAAGTTGAACAGACTGCAAAATTACATACATAAGTTAAGGATCAGATTTGTAACCATTTGAGTGAAATAGGAATTTATTAGTCTGTGGTGATATAAATAAATGAATAAGTAAGTAAGTGTGGAAGATGAGAAGACCTACCCTATAGTAGCAAGCCACGTAATAAATTTAGAAAGCATGGAATAAGAAAATTGCTGTATGGCAATGACCACAATGATACTTGATTGAGGCAAGGATCATGAATGGACACTGTATCTGGAGGATAAAAGTTATATGAGAAACAAGACATTTACATAAACTGAAGGTTATCTCCCCATAAAATACAACATAGTATAAATCAGCTTACAGTGGAGAAACCTGAGCAGATCCCAATTTAGCCAAGTGATAAAAGTTAGTATCTCCAATGTGGGGACCAATTACCTCCTTATGCTTCCTGATGTAAGAAACGCAAACATTCTTCTCCCAAATGCATAAATCCTGAGGAAATGTCATACAAATGTAGGTGGAGGAATGTTTTATGTAATAATTGGCCACCACTTGTCAATAATGTCCAGGAAACCAAGAAGCGGCTTCAGACTGGAGACTAAACTTGAGATGCGGCATTTATTTATTTATTTTTCCCTCACCAAGCTTTATTTTTTTTTTTATTGTTTGTATTTTTACATTTACCCACATGTGTATGCATTGTTTGGGCCACCCCCACCACCATCACCACACACACACTGCTTCCAGGCAGAGATGTGGCATTTAAATCTCAAATGTGATCCTGGATTAGATGCTGGACCTAGAAGGGTCATGATAGGAACAACTGGCAAATTTGAATGAGACCCATGGATTAGATTTCCTGATTTTGAGTATCTTTGGTACTTAGGAAATGCACAACAAAGAGTTAATGGGTGATGGGGCATCAGGTTTATAGCTTATTTTCAAGTGGGTCAGCATTTGGGGGAATTTGCATGAAGGGCATTTGTGAGTTCTATATTTTCACAACTTTACTTTAAACTTGGTATTATTTCAAAATAACTACTTAAGATAATTCCTAGGCTTGTTCTACCTTCTTCATGTTTTATGTCCTGTCTACCTAAAGAGAGAAGCATGTTCTTCTACAGGTATTATGCTAGATTAGCAGTCCACAGAGAGCTGCCTTATACAGGGCTAGTGTGCCATTATGAGGGCATGAATTCCAGCTTTCTGAAAATTTTCAGACCTAATCTTTGGGCAAATTATGATCTAAATAAATACCCAAGGAACCATGAGGCCTGGTGGACAGTACCTAACTATTCTTTGCAGGTTAGGGAAAGCAATGACTACACTGATTTATATTAGTGCGGATGACTAACGATCTGGTAATGCCACTGCGCAGGATGGTAGAGTTAGAATTCCCTGGGTAGGCTGGAGAATTTAGGAAGGGACAGGAAAAGGTTGTTTGGAGTAAAGGGCTTCCATCAAGGATTGACTTGGCAGTTGTATTGTGACTTTTATCATTGCTGACAAAATGTCTGACATAAGCCAAAGAAAAGAAAAAGATTTATTTTGGCTTTTGTTTTCACAAGTGTTAATCCATGGCATGGTAGAGCAGAGGAGGCATGGCAGCCCTGAAATAGAGACAAGGAATATAGGAAGAGGTCAGGACAGATAGAGCCCCAGGAGGAAATGCCCACCACTGACCCATCCTTCCATTTGGTCCCACCTCTACCTTTCACCACCTCCCCATAATGCCACCATAGCATGAATCCATAGAGGGATTAATTTACTCATTAGGTCATAACCCTTCATTTTAACTGTCTCTGGCAATGCCGTCATGGCCGTATCCAGACGCATGCTTTACTGATCTGCTAGGCTTTTCTTAACTGAATCAAGTTGACAATGAAGCTTAAGCATCACAGCACTTTTTTGCTCTTAGGTTGTTTTTTATCATTAAGTATTTTTCAATGGTTGCTTCTTAAAATTCAATAGTTTTCTTGTTTGTATCTTGTTGTACACTGCCAAAACATATTTATATGAAGAAATAAATGTATGGTCCTAGAATCCCATTTGGGTAACCTAAATAGCCAACATATACATATACTTTGTAATCTTCATTTAGTTGACTCTGTATCTAAAGTTTTAATTCCAATTGGCTTTATTTTCAATTTTAGAATTAGAAAGTACTTCATGAAACAGAGTAGAGTTTTCCTGAAAGTTTTTTTTTTTTTTTTTTGAGGGGGGAGTGGGAGAGGAGGGGGGAGACTGAACCCAGTACCTTGTGTATGCTAGTCAAGTGCTCTACCACTTGAGTTGCCCCAGCCCTTTTGTTTGTACTTTTTGAGACAGGGTTTCACTAACTGCCTGGGCTGGCCTTGAACTCATGATCCTCCTACCTCTACCTCCCAAGTAGCTGGGATTACAGAAGTGACACCATGCCCAGCTTTTCCTAAAGGTTTAGTTCTATAGGTTTTGCCATGTCCATTATTGATCTTTTCCATTTATTCCAACTTTTTATTCTTTTCTCCTCCCTCATCCTAAGTCTTTACTTCTCTAAAGCTACTAAAATATCTAGTATGTATAACCAGCATTCAAAACTTAATTCAGGTTATTTACTTTCTTATATGTATTAGCTTCTCTTGTGACCTGATGTATCTGTTGCTTTTTTTCTTTTATTAGATGTTCAGAGAATTCCAGCTTCTTACAAGAACAGATATTTATAAGAAAACAAGGCATATTTTGGAATCTTATTCAGAAAATATACTGACTTCTCTTTCAGTGGTGGATAATCCAATCAATGTTGCATTGCAAGAAAAACTGAGACAGTACACTGATGAAGACATGTTGAAATGTTGGTAAACCAGGGGTGGGGTGAGCTGGTCTCAGCTATCTGTATAATACAGGATACTTTAGAAGGTCTCTGTTTTGGTAATATGTAAAGTTCAGTGAAACAACTGGTGGGAAGGATATAGATTTAAAAAGTACACTCAATATTGTAAAATTGTATTTGGAGTGCTAGGACCCTGTTAATTTTATAACACAAATCACAAGGTAAAACATGATAAAAATCATCCTAGCAGATGGACATAAAATACAGAACTCTTGTCTCTCCTGGCAGTGACCTGGAGAACAAACATGACGTTTGGGTTTTATTAGATGTTGGTTAAAAAAGGTTGTGAAACACTATCTAAGAAGGGTAGCTTGTTTTCTGTAAAAGGTAACAATTTTTAAAATCCATGTTTTAACACTGGCTTTGTTTACAGTTGCTAAAAACCCATTTTTACCTGGCCTGTAAACATATTTACTTTGACAGACATGAAGATGACAGCCACATGTCTACTCCTCCCAGATGTTTTTGGGGATGATCCTAACCTTTTTGTTGTTGTGAATGACAAGGTACGTACGCACAACGTTAATAGCCATTGGTTTGCCATTTTGCATTTTCGTATGATAATTTATTTATAAGCAGGACAGTGGTCTATTTTGAAGTATGTTTTATCATATTTACAGATATGCTGACTTGCAAAAACCTCACTTATGCAATATTGTACTTAAGTTCAGGCAGATTATTATTTATTATGTGACCTATCATGGAGTAGTGACTCCATTCTCTCCTTCAGGTGCAAGTGGCCACACCTGTGTTGGAAGTTAAAAACCCCTTCAACATCGACGTTTGCGAGTTTTCTTTATATTTGGACAAAGAGAAGCTCACCAAGGTGGATGACTGTGTCACAGCTGTAGCTGCTCTAGTGGCTGCCTTTCAAGTGTTTGGGATTGAGTACCCAAGAAGACTGTCCCAAACCCTCAATTTCCTCCAGACCTTGATCTTTGATATGCAGAGTCCCTATTTTCCTTCTTTGAAAGAAAAGGAAAAGGAAGTAGGATTTCAAGGCCCAGTCACTCAATACTAGCCAATTATGTATCAGAATTTAACTCTGGGACAACTGAAGCTTTATAAAAAATCATTTTCATTTAGGATTGTGGTAGAGGTAGGAATTACAAAATCATTTCGTATAAAATATGCTAATGAATTTCAATGCTTTCTATCTTTACACTTACTTAAGTTCTTTGTGAAATTCTGCAATAAAATACCACTTAAGTAAAAGGCTCTTAATTTGATCTGAGTTCTTAGAAATTCCATGGTCAAAGTTATACTTTCAAGGGTGCCTTAGTTTTTAAAAGACACTAAATATTCTTTGGGTTTGGGTATGACCTTCAACTTAACTCAAGGTCCCCACTTGGTATTTTGGCAGTACTAGGATTTGAACTTAGGGCCTTGTATATGCTAGACAAGTGCTGTTTCACTTGAGCCAGGACCCTATCCCTAGGGTGTTCACTTTTGAAAGCCCAGTTACTGCACATACATGGCCTGTGGGTAGCCTCTTTTGTCTAAACACTGCTTGAAAACATTTTGAAATTGAACATTTTAAGAAGGGGCACAATTCCTCTAACCCCAGATGACCGCCTAGCCTGAGATGCTTTGCTTCTGCAAACCTGTCTCCTCCCTGCTGGCTGATCTTGCTGGCTCAGCTCTGCTACCTGTGGCCTGTCTTCATCTTCTATTGCTTCCATCCCAAGTCACTCAGACTCGTGTGCAATCCCAATGGCTACTGCTCTATGTCCCATGTTAAATTTCTGTTCATAACTTTTGGAGTCTAACAAGACTAAGACTCAGTCGCTCTTACTGTCTTCTAAAGAATTCCACAAGAAAAACTACAGACTAGTTTAAAGTGCCCCTTAAAACTATCATATTTTGGGCTGATGGAGTGGCTCAAGTGGTGGGGTGTCGGCATAGTAAGTGTGAGGCCCTGAGTTTAAACCCCAGTACTGCCCCCCAAAAAGTTTTATTTATTTCCTTTCACTAGAGTATGAATTTACTTCTTTACAAATCTTCCTTTATTTCTCCAAATTATCTCATCCCAATTAAAAAAAAATATTTCACAAGCTGTCTTCCCCCAAATGAATCTACCAAATTCTTAAAGATTCCTTTCCTTACAGGTATACATTCTCTGGGGTTGACCTTGAATGGCAGCTCCTCTAAGGCTGGATGGAGTGATGGGGGCAGATCAGCAGGGAAACTGCAAGGAAGTTTGCTCCAAACATTGTGAAGACATGTGCTGAGCTTGAGGGAGGATCCGTGTCCATGTTACTGTTTTTTCCAACAGGACATCTATCCCCAGTGCCTAGCTCAGCATTCCCACTGGTAACATACCCTAGTTTCTTTGAGGGCTGAGACCACTGAATGTAGATGTCACAAATGGTAGCCTGTGGTAAATATCACCCTGCAGGCAGGTTTCATTTGGATTGTACAATGTTTTAAAGTTTTAAAAAATGCCTTTTGAATGGGAAGGTCCTATCAAGGTCCTCATTTCCCACCCCTGCCTTTTGTTTTACCCTAAGTCTGTCTTTTTTTTTACCTTCCTTCCATTTTTAAGTATACAGTTTGGGGGTATTAAATCCATTCATAATGTTATGTAGATATTAGCACATCCATCTGGATACCTACTTTCACATTTCTTAGTTTTTATTAGCATGTATTAACTATAAGAAGTAATAGGTTTCATTATGAGATCTTCATACATGTACATAATGGACTTTGATCATATTCACTCCTCCCCATTTATAATCTTTTGTCCCTCCTTCTCCCTTCCACTTATCTCCTTTCTCTTCCAAAATAGCTCCCCTTCTACTTCCTTTCTTCTTCTTTTTTTAATCTAAATTTTACAGATTAGAGAAAACATGCAGTAATTGTCTTTCTGAGTGTGGTTGTTTTGCTTAACATGATGACCTCCAGTTCCATTTCCTGTAAATGGTATAATGTCATTCTTCATTTACTTAAGCGTGCTTCTCTTATTTCAGGGATTCCTTACCATCAGGGCTCTTATTTTTCCTTTAAAATTGTCCTGTTCCATCATGCCTGGATAAGAGCAGATGTTTCAAAGAAAACTTAAAAGTTCCTTTCATTACCTGCCTAGCAAGCAGTAAGCCCTGAGTTCAAACCCCAGTACCACCAAAAAGTTTCTTTTATTATAAGGTAAGCTTTAAACTAGGAAGGAAAAATTCCAACATGGACAAATCCTACTTGACCTAGCAATATAATTTTTGAATTTTTTGTCACTAAGCACATCTTCTGGAAAGTAAACTGACAAACAATACTAAATCCTACAGGTTCATTAGACCGCTGTTGGTGTTTTCTTTTTTTTGGGGGGGGCGCGGATATGCTAGGGAACAGACCCAGGGCCTTAGGAATGCCAGGCAAGTGTGCCTGCCACTGAGTTTTTGCATAGCTCTCTCAATGCCCGTGTGCTTGACACTGGTCCCGCGCCTGTTCTGCCTAGACCATCTGGCAAGCAACAAGGAAAACTTACTTAGTAGATTCATGCACAGAAATTTTTCCTTGAATCATGGCAAATGCAAAGGACTGCTAACAGACTGCCAGCATGGCACATCAAAGGAATTCCTACACCAGAAAAAAATGGAGCAACTAAGGAAAGAGGAGAGACTTTCCTCACAACTCAGGTAGCATGCTATCAAACCCACTTTCTATTTTAAAAACAGTCCTTGAATGTATGTGTAATCCTGGAATCAGAAAGTACATCAGAACACTAACAGAATAATTTATCTTGTCCCTTAGAATCACATGCTTAAAAAGAAACACTGACAGCTATCAGTTGACAGATAATCACGGGTTTTCATTTACAGTGCATGCAAATTCTTATATAACAAGGCAAAGCATTTTATAGAAAAAAAGGAATTCTTCCAGAATGAAGATTCTTGAGTAATGGCTTTGGGACTCATTTCCCTGACCTGTGAGCAATGAGGATTTGTGTCCACTGCTGTTGCTCCCACACACCTCACTTGTGCAGTAAAATCGATCCACTTTGGATGCGGACAACACTGCAAGACGATGAAGCTCTTTAAGGATTAGCATTTCCATCAACAGAATGAGCCCTTCATCTCTGTAAAGCGTCACAATTACTTTAATGGCAATTAGAAGCTAAAGATAATCTTATAACTAGTTCAAGACCCTTAGGAACAAATATCCATCGGAATGTAAGTGCACATTCCTCGGCAGCCACGGGCCTCCTGTATGTATGTACATGGGTACCAAGATGTATGACAGTGATGCCACTCAAATGTACCACCTCACTTATTTATGTTGATATATTTTATTTTTCAACTCCATTCTTTTATATACATGTTTTTGGTAATTATAGTAAAGATGCTGGTGAAAAGTAATTTGTTTAACATTTCCTAATGCGTGCAAAAGTAAAAACACTGATTCAAAGAAAAGTAATTTTTACAACTATTCAGCCTCACAATTGATGACAAGCAGTTAGGCAATATCGTGACTTGCAAAGTTATACTTAGCATAATGTTGCAATTCAAAATATGGCACAAATGAGTAATACAGATAATAGTCCCACTGGCTAAACCTAGCCAGCCTTTGACTAATTTGGTTTAAGTTGAAATTCAATTATATAAAAAAGTTTCTGAAAGTACTGAAAAAGAAACAGTGTACATGAAAGAGAATCCAACAATGTTTACAAAATGCCAAAAGTTCTTACTCTGCCCCACCCCATCCATAAATAATTAATGAAGCCCCCTTTCCCCCACCCCCCCATCCTCAAAAAGATTTACAAAGATAAATTTAGCTCAGTGAACAGAACCAAAAGATGACTGTTGTTAGACAGTACCTGGTTAAAAGCTTAAGCACTTTCATAAGAACTCATATATTGTCTCTTGAGGAATATAAATAATCCGATAGTGTTGCTCTTTTGAGTTTTGGTGACTTCTCACTTAGGAGTCTGAATGGTCCTTGTGCTTTGAATAAAACATGAGCCTTAAAGCAGAAAGCTGGTAGTGCTCAGAATTCGCCATCTTCAAAGTTCATTGTGAGAATTCTTCTCTGCAGCTTTGAACATCAGAATAGAATTGAAAATTTTGAGAGCAGGGCCCAGCTTAATGCTCATGATTTTAACAATGTCTGTTTGGGTCATAAGTAGAAATGCTTCTCCATCAATTTGCTAAAATAAGGGGAAGAAAGAAAAAGAATGTGGATTAATTTGTATAGTATTATGCAAAATAGTCAAGGTAACTTATCTGCTGATTTCTACATAGCAATGCTAAGAAAGCACACACAGTTCATGTGTGCAACATTTCCTGATACATGTACCCATAAAACAACACATCCAAATGTGGACTAGGAAAATTAAGCCACAGGAAAATGGAAGATAGACAGATCTTCCTGTGATTACTGTAAATTAGGTGCTGAGTCAAGAAGAATACAGGAAAATCTATATGCAGTTCAAATCATGGTAGGTTTTTTAAATTAGACAAGATAACAGTCATACAAATGTTTGTGGCACAAACAAAAGAATTCAGGCAAGGAATCGGCTACATGCTAACAATTTTTTAAGTTAGTCTCCCAATAAAGGAAAAAAAAAAGAGAAAGATAAATTTTATTTCTAGCATGGCCACAATTAATCTTTATATACAGAAGAAAAGCAAATCAACAGAACAATTGGAAGACTGTGTGGCCGGTATTAAGAGTCACATACTCTATGCTGTTCCCTCTGATCCTTGGTTAACTGTGAGAAGGATTCCTTCTCTCTGGGCCTTTTCTAAGACAAATGCCTATGCTTCTACAGAATAGAGTACTTTTCGGTTCAATGATAAACATGATGACTCCTGGGTTAGTGTGGTGAACAATGGGGCAATGCACTTCTCTTTCAGCTTTTCCACTTTGCACAAAAAGTAAAACATACTTTGGTTTTCTGTCTCAGAGTACATTAGAAACTATGACATCAATGTCTTGTGTTCTGGCGTTGCATCTTCCACAAATTTATCTATCCCAAACTCCAGTCCCTCAGAATGTGATCTTATTTGGAAATAGAGTCATTGCAGATATAACTGGTTAAGACAAGGTCACACTAACGTAGGCTCCTGATCAAATATGACTGGTATTCACAAAAAAAGGGGAAATTCAGAAACAGATACAAACTCATGTAGTGGGAATACAGAGAGGGCTGTATAATCTATTCAGGCCAACAGGGAGATTACTGCCTCACAGCTGTTAGAAGGAAGCAACCCTATCCACACCTTGACCTTTAGCCTTCCAGCATTCAGAACTGTGAGAGAAAACATTTCTGCTGTTTAGTTCAGCGGTATAAACTTTGTTATGCTAGCCCTGCAAATCAGACAGTTCTGAGTTATGCAAAGGGTTCACTAGATAAAGGCTGATAATGAAGCTTATCATTAAGCTGTTTCTTAAGATATTCCTTCTCTCCTCTTAAAAAAAAACAAACAGAAAAAATTCTGGACATGGTGATACATGCCTGTAATCCCAGCACTCAGAGGCCAGGCAAGAGGACTGCAGGTTTCAGGGCAACATTGACTACATAGATTCTCTATAAGCTTTTTTTTAATCTTAAAAAAAGGTTTTAAATCTAAATTGCCTGTGCAGTATACTCAATCATTAAGAACTAGAGTCATCTTCTACAACTTCAAGCAATAGTCATGTGGAAGAAGCATCCCTGCTACAGAAAGCTAGAAGGTGAGGGGTTTTTTGCAGCACTAGGGTTTGAACTCAGGGCTGCATGCTTGCTAGGCAGGAGCTCTCCCCGCTTTAGCCACTCTACCAGGTGGAGACATTTTAATGTTAACCTCCAAGTGCAACACAGCTGCATGGCAGGCATGAGGAGGGGTCTCTTGCCTTTTGCAAACATTGACTTGGGCCTCAAGTGACAGACATCCTCTGACAAGGCAAGACCAACAGGACAGGCAGACCTGTGACCAATTCACTCACCACAGCAGACCCCAGCGGAAGGGACAGTTGAGAGAGCCTTCTAGGCCCTCAACAAAAAAGTCTGATGGGTTTATTACAACTTTGGATCCTACTGAAGGTTTGCAGCAGCCACCCTGTCTCCTTAGGCTGCATGCAAGAGTTTAAAAAGGAGACTAGTGACTGAAGAAAAGGAACATTCAGAGAACTGAGAGGCTAGGATTTGAAATTATGTGTGAGACCTGAAGATGAAGTTTTGGTAGATTATTATTTATAAGGTTACACTAGAAAGAAAAAGGTCTTGAAGCTAGTGTCATCGCACGTATTACACACAGCTGGTCTGATGCGCAGGCAGCACAGGACAAGGCTGAACTGGAAGGAGATAAAAATTTAAGAAACTGCATTCTAAGAACAATGGAGATGCTGTGATGTATTACTAGGCTTACTTTTTAGTTTGCTTTTGTAACCCAAATCCAGAGATTAAGTGTTTTGTTAAAAGGCCCAGGCCAGGAAGAGAGATGTGGAGCCTGGGAGCTCCTTCTTTTGTTTTACTGCTCCTCCGTGGTGCACTCTGGGTTCTTTTCCAATGCTTTAGTTCTGTAAATTGCAGTGACACACTCTTTGAATAAGTCTTTTCTCAGAAGATAAAGGTAAGAGTATATTCACTACAAAAAAATAGCATACTAAATATTAATTCCAAACATTCTTCTTGGGCCTGGGCATATAGCAAAGAATAAAGCAGATAAAATAAGTAAGCAAGCAAAAACTCTTTGTGGACTTTGCACTCTGTAGTGGGAGGCAGACTATAAGCAATAAACATAATAAGCAAGCAAATTAATTGGGAAGTTGGAAGGCAATTACTGCTAGGAGAGAACAGTTGGCTGGGGAGATGAGAGGGCAGCCCAGGTTGGGATGCACGTGTGGTGGCAAATGGCAATTTCAAATAGGACAGTCAGGGCATGACTAGTTAAAACTTGGCATCTGAGGAGAGGGAGTGAGTCATGTGAACATGGGGAGGAAGAGCGTTCCAGACAGAAGGAAGGGCCAAGCATGCCAGGACAATCTGAAGGAGAGCAAGGAGGCTGGTGTCGGGAAGTGAGAGGCAGTGTTAACAAAGTGGCCAGGAGCAGAGAGAGTTAAAGAGGTAGCAGAACTGTAGGCCCCTGTTGGGACTACTCCAGCTTCAGCAGGATCACTCTGACCCTGCTGGGTACAGACTGCAGAGGAGCAACTCAGAAGTAGAGAGACCTGTTAGGAGGCTACTAAATGAAGCCACGTGAGAGACAGTGGTAGCTCAAACCAGGGTGGCAGCTGTGGAAGGCAAGAGAGAGTCGGATTCTTTGTTTTAAAAATACACCCAACAGGATTTTCAACAGGTGAGATGTGAAGTATATAAGAAAGACATCAAGGACAGTTTCCAAAAATAGTTTATCTTAACAGCTGTACAATGTATTTTATAGATGACTTACAAGACTTTAGTTAGATTTGTTATGGTTTATTTCTGGGACTCAAAAGTGATGCCCATGACCTTGTGAGATGCTTCAGAGCAAGGCCTACTTTTTATAATTTTGAACATCCTTTCCACCAAAGCATTTCAGAGTAACATATGCAAAGTAGGATTAACAAATGCTCACCAGATGTAAGAAAAAAGGAGTAAATGGACACATGGATGAATGATACATTTGGAATGTTAACTGTCCCACTCCTACAAAGAAAGGTCTGGCTCTGAGGATACTGGTACCTGAGGAGTGTCTCAAAGACAATACGCCATGAATAAAAACAAAAATATTCAAAGAAATACACCTTTCAAATTCATTTTGAATTTGAACTTAAATCTTACTTTAATAGAAAAAACCTACATGGAATATCTTGCTATCAACAGACTCGTGACTGCCTTCCTAGCTGTTCAGGAGGCAGAGATCAGGAGGATCATGGTTTGAAGCCAGCCTAGGCAAATCGTTCACAAGACCCTGCCTCGAAAACATGCAACACAGAAAAGGACAGGCGAGTGCCTCAAATGGAAGAGCGCCTGCCTAACAAGCGCAAGGCCTCTGAGTTCAAACCCCAGTACCACCAAAAATAAATAAACAGAAATTATAAAATAAATGTATTATAAATTTATTTTCAAAACTAACATGATTTTGAGGCAGGATAGTTCAGGGGAAGCCAGACATGGGAAACAGCTGCCAGGAATTCAGAGAGAAACACTGTATTAATAAATGGCTTGATTAAAAGTACACAGCACTATTTTCTTTGCTTCAAGCTTTACACCCCTTAAATAAGCTGCAATATTTAGTAGAAAAAGACAAAAAAGAAAGAAAAAAGAGCAGTTCTCTCCTCTAACCTTTCCCACATAATTAGTGTGCTCTAGGAACTGAGCAAGGATTTCTTTAAAAAAAACCTTATTCTGGAAAAACAACAACAAAAAAAAAACATCTGGGAAAATAACTCCGATAGGCACAAAAAGTGTTTACAAAAAAATTAAAAAAGAAAAACTATTCACCTCAAGGATGGACACCTGTCTTTAAAGGCAGTGTCTGGCAGAAACCATCCTTTGCTTAAAAGGATGTTCAGGCATCTGTATCATAATGACTTAAATTTATTAAGAAGACAAATCCTGAAACCTCTGGACCCAACTGATAAAACTGAATTAACATCAATAATGATACTAGGCATCAAAACAAAGAGGAACACTCTTCCTAAGGTAAATTTGGCCCAAACCCCCAACCTACTTTTTCACCATAAATTCTCTGGATGTTACAGCCTCTTTGTACCTGTTATCAGATGTGCCCACACCCATGTCTGAGCTGGGTACTATATTTCTCTCTTTGTTTTGCTTTACTAATTAACTTTCTTGGTTTCTATCTCAGAATGTCCAAAAATTCTTTTTTGTGACAATACCACAAACTCGGTACCCCCAGGGCCAGGTGGAGGCCTCCTTCCTTTTGCAGATCTCCTCCCTGGAGCATCACTGGTTCCAGTAACAATTCTTTCAAAGAAAAAGCAATAGCTCTGTGTGTGGATCTTAGTTTATTTGGGGATAGAAAGTTCACGGAGCATGGTCTACATAGACACATGGGTCTCAGGTGTTTGGGAAAGAAAGTCAAAATCTGCACAACTGACAACTAAAGATCAGCTAGAAAGAAGATAACACATCTCTGCAGTAAGAAGATAAATCAGAAAATGGATGCTGAAAACCAGATCTTGTGCATTTTAGCAGGCATCCATCTAAGAGATAAATTATATCTAACAGTCCAATGAGGCTGGCAGCCAGTGGCTCAATTCTCGGCAGTCCTCACCCTGGATGTAAGTTCATGTTATTAAGTTTTGTGGGGTTTTTATAATAAGTCTGGTGCTACTGCCCAGGGCATAGTAATGATCGTACTCACACTCATTCCATTGATCTCATCTTCTATTAAGACATTTTTATACAACTGGGTAGTGCTGCCTATCATGCAGCTACATATCAATCTGTGAGCTTCAACATACATCTCTTCCTGATTCTGCCAAGTCTATACACTTCCCCATTCCTGCATTTCAGTGCTTTGATCCTATCAGGTAACATATTGCAACATAGTGGAACACTTACTTCATCTTTAAATACCTTTCCATGTTCTTCACACCCAGGTAAGCTCTGTATGAATTCTGATACCTGACAAAAATAAAATACAATTCTCAATTAAAAAAAAAAACAGTCAAAATTTAAATGCTCCAGGCTCAAAATATTTAACCAAAGTGTTTTGGTATTTTTCTCAGAATAATTTCTTCTCTTTCAGGAATGAGAAAAAGAGAGACAGAGACAAAGGGAGAGAGAAACAGACACAGAGGGAGGGAGAGAGAGAGAGAGAGACACCAAGACAAGACAGGTACACAGAAAGATATACTACAACCATACCTAAACACAACGCTTCTACCACTTTTGAAGCCAGTACCACTGGTGCCTGAGAAGACTAAAAATAAAACCTACCTCATCTGTGCTCCATTTGGAAACTTTGCTAGCAGGGATTCCGGCCACAGTTGGAAGAAGTTTGCTTTGCTGCTCCCAGCGCAGGGGCAGACACGGAATTGGGGACTTAAAGGATAGAAAGACAGCTGACCGGCGCTGTGCCTGCTGTACGGTAGGTTCTTCACGGGCTCCTGGTTGAAACAAATGAGAAATCACTCTCTGAAAAGCAGTATTATATTCTCCTGAAACATGAGATTGAGGGAAGAGCGGGTAGTTAAAGTGTTGGTTCCTTTCAACATAATACTCACTGAGTAATGATTATACTGTCTTTATTGAAGGTCACCATCAGAAACAACCTGTACATTCAACTTGCATGTTTGCTGTAGCACCTATTACTAAAGACATGCTTCATTAAGTTGTTCAATGTTGACTCTTAATGCTTCAGATAAGAAATGTGCCTCAGGGTTTTAGTGGCAAGGAAAAGAACTCTCACCTTAGGAAACTGTGTTTGTTCCCCATCGTGCTTTGGATTCCATAAAGGTAAGAGTTGCCAGTGTGCAGGCTCCAGCACAGCAAGTGTGCTTACCACATCAGTCCTGCACTTCTCTCCCTCTGTCTCACCTTGCTTTATTCTTCCAATTAACTATTCACACTGACCTTTGAAATAGTCAACCTAACTTTTTTTAAAAGGAGGTAAGAAATGACTGCCATAAAAATAAAACAGCAGACAGCACTATTCACAATAGCCAAGCTATGGAAACAGCCAAGATGCCCCACTACTGACGAATGGATTAAGAAAATGTGGTATTTATACACAATGGAATTTTACTCAGCCACAAAGAAGAATGAAATTTTGTCATTCACAAGTAAATGGATGGAACTGGAGAACATCATCTTAAGAGAAGTTAGCCAGACTCAGAGGGCCAAAAATCATATGTTCTCCCTCATATGTGGATTATAGACCCCAAACAAATGCAGAATATTATTGGACACGGGTAACACACTAAGGGGAGAATGTACATGGCAGAAATAGGGAAAGGGAAGGAAACCTGAAACTTGAATGTGATTGATGTGCTCACTGTAGAGGAGCAAATAAAGTAATCTTAAACTGGCAGAAGCCACTATGGAAAGGGGACCAGGAAGTAGTGAGGAGGTTGGTAGAGATGAACCAATGTGGGTTGCAATATACAAGTGCATGGAAACAATGCTAGGAATCTCTCTGTATAGCTATCTTTATCTCAAATTAGCAAAAACGCTGTGTCTTTCTCATTATCTTTTTATGTTTTCTCTTCAACAAAAATCAGAGAACAAGAGGGTAGAACAGGTTCTGTCTGGAAGGGGAGCAGTGGCAAACAATGTATACACGTGAGTAAATGTAAAAATGATAAAAAAAAAAAAAAACCCAAAAACCCAGCAGAAAGGTTAATACTTTGTCATTCTTTATTTCTGCAGATCAAAATTAAAACTTAAAACTATTCTATTTATGTTTGAGATCTTGAAACCTAAACCTAGTTTGCTGCTTTCTTAAAACAGCCATTCTGTAGCAAATGACCTTTACCCTTGGAACTCTGACCCAGAGCTTGTCAAGGATTACCTCCTGGTGATCCTTCAGAACACACTGCTTTTCTGGAAACTACTTACTCACAGCTTCACAAACAAAAGGCACTTCATCTACATTTATTCTTCCCTTACACCCAGGTTAGCTACAAGGATACTTCAATTCCATCACAAATCCTTGCCAAATGGCTACCTAGTTTAGACTTCTGTATTTCTAAGAATATATTCAAGTAAGCTTACTTTTTTTCTTGGAGAGTAAGACTTAGAGACAAGTGTGCAAATCAGAAGTATATAGTTCACTGAATATTTATAAAATGAACACACCCATGTAACCAACAGCTGGATCAAAAACAGAGTATGAACAGTACACCCCTTCTAATCACTGCTCCCCATCAAGGCTGGCCATTTTCATACTAGAACAGCATCAGTTCATTCACCCTATTTTGGAATTGTATTTAAATAGAACCAGTGCTGTCTTCTTTCTCTCAACAGCATGTTTGTGACACTCATTCACATTGCTGCCTACAGCTATACTTCACTTTCTCTTTATTGTATGGTTTCTCATATAATAGTCTATAATTATTCACAGAGTATTTTATAATTAATTTGGAGCTGATGGGTGTTTGAGATGTTTTCAGTTTCTAGCTACTGTAAACATTACTGTGCATGCCCTTTTGAAAACCTATGTATACCTTTTAATATACGTATATTCATTACAAAGAGCAAAGCTAAGGTCACGGTAATTGTGTTGATGAAAGTTCAGCATATCTGCCAGTTTTCCAAAAGAGTTGTATAATATACACCACCAACAAGCATGTTGGCTACCATCCTCACCAGCGCTTGGCACTGCCATTTTCACTTCAGGCATTATGGTGGAAGTATGGTGGTTGTAACTGCATTTGATGACAACTAAAATTAGTGATCTCTTAAGTTTATGGTCCATAGACTTACAAGCCTCTTCTGTGCAATGCGTATTCACATTTTATGTCCACTTTTCCACTGAGCTTTCCTGCTGATTTATCTAAATACATCAGGGTTGTTAGAAATATGCATTGCAAACACCTCTCCCACTCTGTGTCTTCCTGTTAAGTCTCTTAATAAGGTCTCTGAAAAACAGAAGTTGTGGCTGGTACAGTGGATCGAGTGGTAGAGCACCTGCCTAGCAAGCATGAGGCCCTGAGTTCAAAAAAAACCTCCCAAAACCATAAGTTGTTAACTGCAATACTATTTAATTTAGTAATTTTTCCTTTTATGGTAAATGCTTTATATGTCCACTGAAGAAATATCTGCTTACCCCCAAGGTCATGAAAGGTGCTATCTTTTCTTTATGTTCTGGATCTCACACTTAGATCTACAACCCATCAGAAATTTATTTTTGTCAATGTGAGCCAATGCCCTGTATAGCTATCCTTATCTCAACCAGCAAAACCCCTTGTTCCTTCCTATTATTGCTTATACTCTCTCTACAACAAAATTAGAGATAAGGGCAAAATAGTTTCTGCTGGGTATTGAGGGGGGGAGCGGGAGGGGGTGGAGTGGGTGGTAAGGGAGGGGGTGGGGGCAGGGGGGAGAAATGAACCAAGCCTTGTATGCACATATGAATAATAAAAGAAAAATGAAAAAAAAAGAAATTTATTTTTGTGTGTTTATGAGGTAAGGAACAATACATTTTATTCACAGGGATTTCTAACCCAATTTATTTTAAAAAATACTTTCCCCACTGTAATGCAGTGTTAGTTTTAACATAAACGTAAATATACATTTCTAGATTATCTACTTTGTGTCCCTGGCCTCTAACCCTACTCACAACTTCAGTTATTACCACTCTGAAAGTGTCCTGCTGTCTGTACTACAGTATTCTTCAAGATTCCCTTGACTGCTTTATTCCTTGGTGCTTCCATGTAAATCTGAAAGTCAGTCTGTAACATATATGCTAAGATTTCAACTAGGCTGTCCACTGATTGCAGATAAATTCAGAGAGAAATTACTTTTTGCAATATTGAGTCTTCCAAAACATGAACATAGTGTATCGCTCCATTCCCTTGTCTTCTTTACTAGCTCTCACTAATGTTTTGTCATTTTCACATAGAGATCTCAGACATCTTTTGTTAAATTTATTCCTATGACTCTGATGTTTTCTGACACTGCTGTATTGGCACCTTTTTTTTTTTTTAAAGATCTTATTTCGTACTGTTCTGTTGTGGTTTTTCTAATAATTTTTCTCTTAAATTACCCTAATCTGAATGTTAAAATTGCTCTGGATGTTAGAAAGTCACTATGCCATATCAAAAATCTATCTTACTAGAGCTAATACCTACTGGTCTTGGATCTTCCTCATTGCACGCATACAGAAAAATTCTCCTGCCACTCCATATGAAGCATTTCAAATCTTTGAACATTTTTAAGCTGTTATGATCTCTCCCTCCATGATTTCATTTGCTCTCAAGGTTTTACTGAATATCTATTATGAACCAAATTATAAACCAGCACCACTTTGCTTTTATTAATTTTTTAAATCACCCAGAGTTCAAGACATTTTTGTATAGCAAGATATAGGGTAAGATGGGAATGCAGCTTGGTTCCGAGTGCTTGCCCAGAATGCACAAGACCCTGGGTTCAATCTCCAGCACTGAAAAAAGTGAATGTGTGGTCAACTTAAAAACATTCTTTTGATCTCAGATATTCCCAAGAGTTTAGCAATTATCTGAAATAAATACTTGTGTATACTTTACAAAACAGACTTATATAAAATGGTAAGATTTCCAATTCCACACTATAGCAATCCAACTGAGCTTACTTTATAATTCGTATTCTGATCACGCAACACACAGTGTCTTTTCCAAATCCATCCTCCATCCTATCTTATAACTGTTTACCTTCCATTAACACTTGGCACTTTCATTCTATCACCGTATCTTCATTTACTTCTTGCTAAAAGTTAATAATTCACAGATCATTTCTAATGATCCTACTTTTTTTTCTAAGAAAAATAACTGAGTCACTATAAATAAATGACTTAAGAGTCAAAAGCTCTCATACTTGTAGTGGCTTCTGCATATCTGTGAACCTCATACTATAAATAGTCCTTAACATGTATACTACTCCACTCCTACTACTAACTTTGCATCCTTTACTTTTAAGACTTTCTTTGCTTTTGCTGATTCTTCTGTGCCCAAAGTCATTGATTCCTGTTCAAAGGAATTAAGAAAGCAACCCCAGGTGAGCAAATCTGTATTTGATTCCTTGAATTACACAGAAAAGTGCAGATTTTTATTTACTTTGTTTTTTTGAAACAGGGTCTTTCTAGTTAGCCCAGGCTGCCCTGAGTTTGTGATCCTCCTGCCTCAACCTTCAAGTGTAACCATGCCTGGCAAGATTTTAATTTTAACATGATACAGACTACAATAAATGAAAATAGACTTTAGGCTCCAGTAGCTGGCTGAGCGTCAAGAGTAAGGTAGGGGAGGTACACAATATGCTTCGGAGAACACCACAACTTTTTGCTCTGGAAGACATTTCTTTCTCTGGCATTTTACTAGTGATCAATTTCTTATTGCCCTTCTTTCATCCCATCTAGCTGCATGAAAATACTTTTTTTTTTCTTTTACATGAAAATACTCTTAAAAAGTTTCCT